TGGGACCCCCGAACCCTCGCCCCCGCCCCCGCCTCGACCCATGACCCTGTTCCGGCGGGTTCGAGGCGCACACGCCCGACGCATGACACCTAGGTCGTCCTCTGTCTTTTTGTCACCGACACCCTGCTTCGCTCGGCGACCTCCTGCCTTTTCCGCTCTTCATCTGCGAAGCACTTGTTGCACCTCTGCTTCCCATCCGGACCCTTCGTCGTCCGCTTGGCCAACCAGCTGCTGAAATCCCTTCTTTCGAAAGCGCCCTTGCAAGCTATGCATCTCCACCATCCGCGCGGGAGCTTCGCGCCAGCGACGCAGCGCTTGCACGTGCGGTCTCGATCGGCCACGCCGGCCCACATCCACTTCGAAAAGCATTCACGCCGCTGCACCACCTCGCACACAACGCAGGCCTTCCCGTCCATCCTCGCCGCAGCGTCCCGATGTGCAGCCGCAGCGTCTACGCACTGGGTACACGCAATCGACGCTTTGGACACGTTGCACAACGTGTGAGCGGAAAACTCTGCCTTACTCTTCGACTCCCCACAATGTGAGCATACCACCCGCTTTGCCTCTTCGGCACGGGCCTTCTCCTCCTCTCTCTGCAATCTCTTACAAACCTTGCATGTGGGTTCCTCGTTGAAAATAGTTTCCGCTTTCGCAAATTGATCTAGTAACTTCTGCTCGCCGCAGCGCGAACACTGCAGGTGCTTCTTCAGCTCCTCGCACTCAAGGCATATTCCCCCTTTGCACCGGGCGTTCCCTGCCTTCTCCCATTGGAAGTCTACGAACGCATCCTCATACTTCCGCCCCTCGCATACGTAACACTTTCGCCTCTCGGGACAGTCCACGCAACGCCGTGACGTGAGCTTCGAGCTGTGGTGCTGGGATGCATGGAAAGCATCCTGGCCCTTCCACAGAACGCATTCCGTGCACTGCCACGGCGTGCCAATGCTCTTCTTGCCTTCCAAGCACACCTTGCACACGCGGCGACCGTGGCCCCGGCTCCACTGCCCGAGCGCGTACTGGTTCTTGTACTTCACCGACGAGCACAGTGCGCACGTCCCTGCAGGCATGAACTCCTTCTCGATTGCCTCCCAGTCCATCGGGTCTCCCCGCAACACCTGTAACAGTAATCCGGGCCCCTTCCGCTCCTTCTGAGTGTACGGCGCACGGTCGAAAGGCCGAAATATCAACATGTCTTCGCGGCGACGCACGCGCGTCAGAGCCACATAACTCGACAACGGCGACGTGCCCCCGCCAATCCTGAGGTCCACGATGACACCCTGCTTAAAAGTCTGGCCCTGTGCCGAATGGGCGGTGACTCCAAACGCTGGGGCCAAGGGGAACTGCCGCCGCTTCACTTTCAGACGCGGGTACGGCCTGCCCTTGTCGACGAACCAATCTTTTTTCTGCGGGGTCACTGGGTACAGGCCCGGCGTCTGCAGCCCCTGTATCGTCCACAGGAGGAGAAGGACGAGGGAGAGGGGGAGGGGGAAGGGGAGGGGAAGGGGGAGGGGGAGGAGGAAGAGGAAGAGGAGGAGGAGGAGGAGGAGCAAGTAGGAGGAGCAGGAGGACGAGAATAGAGCGGAGGAATGGGTCAACAACAAAGGGGAACTGGCATAGAGGGGGACGCATCGACCTGGAATCGGCGATGCATCGCCGATAGGTCGGCGAGTGGCCCCCGATAGCAAATCCGGACCTTCCTGGGCGGGTCGGGTCCCTATCGACGATGACTGTGCGATTGGAGATCGACGCATCCCCCCCTCTACGCATCCCTTCCTACCGTTACACCCCCTAGCGTTGCCCCTGAGGAAGAAGCCTCGGCTGCCCACACCTCTCGGGATCACATCGGAGGAGGACGAGGGAGGAGGAGGAGAAGAAAAGAGCGCAGGAGAGCGGAGGAGGGGAGGACGGAGGAGGAGGAGGAGGAGAGGGAGGAGGAGGAGAAAGAGAAGGAGGAGGAGGAGGACCAGGGTAAACACAACAGTCATCAACGATGTTGGAATTAACCCTCCCTCCAAGCTCCCTCTTCATAGGCCCCATACAACGGTTCATTTCCATTGAGGGAACTACCTCGTTGGAAGACACCCGTTTGAAGATCCTGAAACATGCCATCACATTGTTCTCGGGATTTCAACGCCAAGGACTAACCCGACTGCTGCTGCTGCGTCTTGACGATCCGGAATATTTTCAGGACGCCTGTTTGGAGATTTCAATTCCGCGAATCAACATGATTGTTGCACCTGCATGAAATTGAACCCTACCCAAAAACCACCTCTGGTACGTTAATCATGGGAATCCGTGAAGCCCTTCCATTTTTCTAAAGCGACTGTGCGCGGCGCTAGGGCAAGAGAACATGTTGAAAACGACCCGCCCTCAAACCGTAAAACTCTTGCAAGACTTTTAAACGAATGTGCGCGGCGCTAAGGCGAGAGCCACATTTTGAAAACCACCCGCCCTCCATCCGTGAAACTCGTGCAAAGTTTTGACGCGAATGTGCGCGGTGCTAAAGGGAAAACCGCATTTTGAAAATCATCCGCCCTCAATTCGTGAAACACTTGCAAATATTTAAACCGAATGCGCGCGGCGCTGGGGCGAGAACCACATTTTGAAAACAACTCGCCCTCAATCCGTAAAACTCTCGCAAATGTGCAAAATGAATGTGCACGACGCTAGCGGGAGAACCACATTTTGAAAACCACCCGCCCTCAATCCGTGAAACTCTTGCAAATGTTAAAAAACGAATGTGCGCGGCGCTACGGCGAGAGCCACATCTTAAAAACCACCCGCCCTCCATCTGCGAAATTGTTGCAACGTTTTAAGCTTCAGTGTCATAAATAATAAGGAATCTCAGGCGAAACGCCCGGCCCGCCCTACAAAAAAAAATAAAAAGTCCAGACCTTCTTTGGGGTCGGCGGCAGAGGCGGCAGCCTTTAGATATATCTATTATATGATATATATATATATATATAACTATATTTATGATACATATATATATATATATATAGATGTCTCTACCTATACCTTTATGACCATCCTACGGGTGATGAGAAGGTTAGGGGGGAGAAACCAACGTCTCACTCAATCGGTATCTTGATCGATCCCTCTATCGGTCTCGCGCCATCGACCTCACTGCTGATCTCACTATCGATCTCCCTATCGATCTCACAATCGGTCTCACTTTCCCTCTTAATGCCGATCTCGCAATCGATCGCACTTGCCCTCTCGCTATCGATCTCGCAACCGATCTCACCCTGGATCTCACCACACCATCGATCCTACTATCGAACTCACTATCGACTTCACAGAACACCACGGAACACCGCACCACGGGACACCACGGACCACCGAAAAACGCCACGGGGCACCACGGGACACCATCGGGACACAACGGCCACGGAACACCACGGAACACCGCGCCGCAAGACACCACGGGGACACCGCGGAACACCATGGGACACCAACGTGACACCACGACGGGACAATCCCGGCCACCGCCGTGCAACCCGGGAGGGAGCGGACTTCTGGCCCAGCGGCGCCCTAGCCAGAGGAAGGTTCATTCCTCTCGCCCGCCTACACAACTGCGCCTCGCCCGCCCGCACGACACGACCACAGAACCGAAACAGATTTCCCGGTGGGGGGCTCTCCCTTTCATTGAGATCTCACCCCCTTCAACTCGAATATACACACATACATACGTACATACACACATACCCACATACCTGCATACCTACATATATACACACCGACATCTGTACACACACATATATACATACATACATACATACAACCACACATACATACATACATACATATATACATCCATACAGTTATGCATACATGCATACGTACATGTATACCTTCATGCACACATACACACATACACACATACGTGCATATATGCATACATGCATACATGCATACATGCATACATGCATACATACATGCATGCATGCATACATGCATGCATACATGCATGCATACATACACACATACATACGTACGTACGTACATACGTACGTACATACACACATACACATACATACTTAGTGTTTACACACCTAGATGCATACATACACACATACCTGCATACATACAATCATACATACATACATGTGCATACACACAGACATGCATACATACATTCACACATACATAATTCCACATACACTCATACACACACATATGTACATACATATACATATATATGCATTCAGGTGCAAACATTTGTATGTGTATATAACGAATTATACATGTATCTGTATATATATATATATATATACATGTATAAATACAGACTGCACAACGTGGCGGCCTCATGGGGACCTCTTGGGGTCTTGTAGGCAATTTGGAGGGGCAACATGGAGAGCCTGGCTGGATCGCGCAGAGGGTAGAAAAAAGCGGATATGACAGAATCGCCGCCCCAAGCACATGACGGACTTTTGTCTGGTCGATCCCTCTCGGTCGCGTGCTCGGGGCCAACTTGAGGGGCGTTTAGGTGCCCACTGAGCGTGTCGGCCTCCTGTGGAGCCTCCTGGGGGCCTCTTGGCGGCTTCGGAAGAGCCTGCTCGCGGTCACGAAGGTCTTCCTGGGCCGAATGGACCGAAATGTCAGTTCGAGCTCCTCCTCTGTGGTCCCTCCTGGGACCGCCTTGAAGCCCTCCCCACCGTCTGAGGCGCCCGTGACGGCGTTTTGGGACTTGCTTGGCTCGTCTTGGGGCCTAATTATCTAAGGCCTCGTTGGCGGCCTCAGAAGCTGCCTTGGGGCGATCTTGGGAGGCCCTCGGGGCCGTGTTCGGCGCGGCTAAACAAAGAACGGATGCGCTAGAAATGCAAGTGCTCTTACACAATGAAGCGATTTGAGCTTCTTGTAACTCTCGTGTTAGCACTTTGGGGGGCACGCTTCAGCTTTCTGATGAGCCTCGTAGCCGTCTTGAGGCCATCTCGGGCGGTCTTGGAACTCTCTTGGGCCGATTGGGGCACTCTCGGGTCGTCTTTTCTTTTTTTTTGATCTGCGCAGCGCGTCGACTGTGCATCGATGGACTACTACCCGTCGGTCGGCCGAAGTGGGTAGAACCATGACGTAGGAGCGCGCCGAATACATCTATATATATATATATATATATATGATTGTGGGAAGGCGGCTACAGTAGGTTGGGATATGGGGGTCACAAAAAGAACACCTACTCTCAACGATGGGGCTCGCTGCACGCGGGGGCCCCGTGCACAACCGCACTCATAAGTATGGCGCGACCAGCTTCTCAGAGATCGCCCAGAGCTCCTCCTCTGAAGCTTCGGTGGCAAACGTCGGAGGATCCACAAGTCGTGCCTGTGGATAGTAGTACTTTCCGCGAATATCTTTCGATTCGATGTCAGGAGAGGCAGACAAGTATAGCTGCGTGACGGCACCTTGACTTGGGGTCATCATAACGTAGTTCTGGAACGCCTCGAATGATTCCACCATTTGCTCGCCAGCTGATTTTCGCATGCCGGCCTGGAGGTGTCGTCCTAAATTAGTTTTAATGCCGCCAGGATGGCATGAATTCGAAAACACTTTCTTGCCGGCAAGTCGCTTATCTAAGGCCGACGCGAATAACACGTTGGCAAGTTTCGAACGTCCGTACGCCGCCCATGGATCGTATCGACTCTCGTGGTCCGCATATATATCTGTCCAATTCACGGCACCTGTGCCAAAATGAGGGATTTGAAAGAATCCTTCCGGAATGAAAGCCGCTGCTGAGGAGACGCTCACTATGCGTGACGGCGCGGACGCCTCCAACTTCGGCAAGAGCAGCTTGGTAAGCAAGAAATGTCCGATATGATTTGTTCCAAACTGACTCTCGATCCCATCAGCGGTCAGGGTGAAAGGGTTGGCCATCACACCAGCATTATTCATGAGGATGTGCAATGGCAGATCCTTCTGTAAGTAGGCATCCGCAAATTCCTTCACACTCTTTAGACTCCCAAGGTCAAGCGTCATAAACTCTGCTTTTGCTGCTGGCACCCGTTCTTTCAATGCGGCGAGTGCTGCTTCACCTTTGGCTTTGCTGCGACCTGCCAAAACGACATGCGCACCCTTCTTGGCCATCTCCACGCAAGACTCATATCCGATTCCGTTGATCGTTGGCCCCGTGACGACGGCCACCTTACCTGACATGTCCGGCATCTGATCGATGCTCCAGCCTGGCGGCGGCACATAATCATTGATCCATCCGTTGCAGATCAGGCTCAGCGTCAGGGGAGCCAGGACCGCCAGCACAGGGACTGCGATCGCGAGGCACTTCAGACACCCCATCCCGGGCAAAATTGCAGGAGAAGCGGCTGCGCCTTGCTGCTGATGTCTCAGCCGCGCCCCCAGTCAAAACGACTTGAGCCAAAATGGCTACGGAGGGGCACTCTCGGGTCGTCTTGGAAGCCTCGTGGGCTGTCAGGAAACCATCGCGGGTACTCTTGGAGCGCTCTCGAAGCCGATAGCGCGCCCCGGGCCCTGGGATCTAAATAGGTTACCCAAGAGAGGCCATTTGGGCCACTGGCCATTGTGCCCCGAGGGCGGCCGAGGGGCCCAATAACCTCGAAGTGCAGCGTGCGTGCTCGAGCGCGTTGTCCTCGCCGCCGTCGTCGTCGTCGTCGTCGTCGTCGTCGTCGTCGTCGCCCTCCTCCTCCTCCTCCTCCGCCTCCTCGTCCTCCGTCTCCCTGTTCTCCGCCCCACTCGGCTTCCCCGACAATCATCGAGACCAGTGGACCAATGCTGGGGGACTTCCTGGCGGCAGAAGGCGGGGAGGGGAGGGGGGGGGCGACGGGTCCCCCCAGGACTGTGGTTTTGTTATCTTGCGCAGTTGGTGTCTGAAGCTCGGACCTCGTGATTCCCCGCATGCGCTGTGGGGTTGTTGTTTTCTTCCCACCCGCGTCGCACCCGCGTTTCTCCTCACAACCTCCCCCCTCTCCCTCTCTCATCCCCCTCCTCCTCCTCCTCCTGCTCCTCCTCCTCCTCCTCGTTCTCCTCATATTATGTCTTCTCCTCGGCCGCGCACAGCTAATACAACACGACACAAGCAAACATACACGTATCCAACCGTACACTCATCATACGCATACGCAAGACACACAGACACAGACCTAAATACACACATGACACACACACACACACCATGCAACACAAACGCGTAGAACTCGCAAGACGTGGTCCCTCTCCGCGGCCGCTATCCGTGACGGTCGTCTGGGCGTAGCAGGCGTGGTACTTTCTCGACGACATAAGGTTGTGTGCAGGGGGTGGTCCTTCACCGCGGTCGCTATCCGTGACGGTCGTCTGGGGGTAGCAAGCGTAGCACTTGCTCAACGCCGTAGGGGGTGCACAAAAACTGGTCCCTCACCACGGCCGCTATCCGTGACGGTCGCCTGGGCGTAGCAAGCGTGGCACTTCCTCGACGCCACAGGGGGGGCGCAGAGGCTGGTCCCTCACCGCGGCCAGTATCCCTGACGGTCGTCTGGGCTTAGTAGGCGTGGCACTTTCTCGACGCCGTAAGCGGGTGCGCGATGGGTGGTCCCTCACCGCGGCCGCTATCCATGACGGTCATCCGGGCGCAGTTGAACCGTCGTAAGGCCCTCAGAGGCAGTCTGTGGTGCCGAATGCGTTTTAATCCTCATGGGGCCGCTTTGGGTCCTCTTGGAAGCCTCTAGGCAGCTTCTGGACATCGTTTGGCCTTTTCGGGATTTCTTGGAGCCCGCTTGGGTCTCTCCAAAGCATCTTCTTGGACCGTCTTAGAGGCTCGTGGCCCGACAGACGCCGTCGGAGGCCGTCTTGGAGGTCTCTTTGGGGCGAATTCGGGCTGGCGCGGGGGCATCGTGGGCTCGTCTTGGGCAACTCGTGGGTCATCTTGGAGCCTTCTTGGGCTGTCTTGAGGCCCTCCTGCAAGCATCCGTCCGAAATTGTTGGAGATTGTCTCGAGCGAAACGCTCATTGTTTAACGGAACTGCTAAATGTGCTTCTTGGGCAATGTTGGAGGTCATGTTTGTTTCTGGTTAACGGAATTCTTGGGCAATTCTTGGTTAACGGAACTGCTAAATGTTTTTTTCGATCATTTCGCTTCTTGGGCAATCTTGGAGGTCATCCGAGATAGCTCCGAACAGATGTCTTACAAGAGCTCTTGGCGCATCCCATGTTTTCGAGGATGGCTCAGGAGAAACGCCCAGGCGAATTAGACCAACGATTCCAACATCCCCAGTTTTCGAGAATGTGTCGAGCGAAACGCTCATCGAGCGAAACGCTCATTTTAAACATAAAACGTCTTAAACGAAAACCTCCAAGATCTCGATTTTGTGAGGATGTCTCCATGGAAACGCTCCTTTTTCAAACATTTCCTGACATGAACGGGAAGCGCGTGAAAGGGAAGAGTTACGCAAGAACTTGCAGCATCATCGCGATCAAATGTAGTACAGGCGAGCTCTCCGAACGCTCACACGGGATACGGATGGACACGCGCCTCCCGAACGTCCACAAGCATATTCCTGAGTATCCTCACCACTCCTCCGCATGAGAAAGACGACGGCGAAGACGACGACCAGGGGAAGAAGGGAGAGGAGGAGGAGGAGGAGGAGGAGGAGGAGGAGGAGGGAGGAGGAGGAGGAGGAGGAGAAGGAGGAGGAGGAGGAGGAGAAGGAGCAGCATCAGCAGCAGCAGCAGAAGAAGAGGTGAGGAGGAGGAGGGGGAGGAGGACGAGGAAGAGGAGGAACAGGAGCAGGAGGAAACGGAGGAAGAACAGGAGGAGGAGGAGGAGTTGGAGGAGAAAGAGGAGGAAGAGGAAGAGGAGAAGACCGACGAGGAGGAGGAGGAGGAAAAGGAGGAAGGAGAAGTAGGAAGAAGGCGAGGAGGTGGAGGAGGAAGATGAGGAAGAGGACGAGGACGAGGAGGAGGAGGAGGAAGAAGAAGAAGAAGAACAGAAGGAGGAGGAGGAGGAGGAGAATTAGGAAAAGGAGGAGGAGAATTAGGAAAAGGAGGAGGAGGACGAGGAAATTTTGGGAGGATGTCTCGAGCGAAACGCTGATTGTTCAACGAACTTGTGTAAAACACATGGGCTTTTCAATATTTTCGCTTCTTGGGCCATCTTGGGGGTCATCCGAAATCGCTCCGAAAAAATGCCTTGCAAGAGCTCGGTCGGCATCCCATTTGTTCGAGGATGTCCCGAGCGAAACGCCCATTTTTAGCAAAAGACGTCTTAAGATACGACCCCCAACTTCATGATTTTGGGAGGATGTCTCGAACGAAACGCTCGTTCAAAATCCGCCACCTCGCGATCCGAGGGCAATCCCGCCACCACTTCCCCCCTGGACCCCCCCACTTGATAAATATTTCCCCTCTGGGCCCGTATACAACGTCTATCGCGCGACTCTTCGAGTCTAAGCGCGCTTCCCGTCATCCGCCAGGTCCCCGACAACGAGTGCGCAACGCGCGTTCCCCCTCCTGGACCTCCCCAATTGATAGAAAAATCCCTCTGGGCAACAGAACGTCCATCGCGCGACTCTTCGAGTCTTAGCGCGCGTCCTGTCATCCGACAGGCCTTGGCCACGGAGCAATCCCGAGCCCTTCCCCCCTCAGACTCCCCCCAACTGAAAATAGTTCCCTCCAGGCCGAGACCAACGTCCATGGCGCGACTCTTCGAGTCTATGCGCGCTTCCCGTCATCCGCCAGGTCTTGATCAGAGAGCAACGCCGAGACCTTCCCCCTTCAAACTCCCTCCAATGAACTATATTTCCCTCCGGGCCGAGACCAACGTCCATCGCGCGGCTCTTCGAGTCTTAGCGCGCTTCCCGTCATCCCGATACCTTCCCCCTCTGGACTCCCCCAATTGAAAATATTTCCCTCCGGGCCTGCGCCCACGTCCATCGCGCGACTCTTCGAGTCTTAGCGCGCTTCCCGTCATCCCGAGCCCGTCCCCATAAAACTTCCCCAAATTGAAACTATTTCTCTCCGGGCCGATGCCAACGTCCATCCCACGACTCTTCGAGTCTATGCGCGCTTCCCGTCACCCTACCCCCTCAGACTCTCCCCAGTTGATCGAATTTCCCTCCGGGCCTGCGCCCACGTCCATCGCGCGACTCTTCGAGTCTATGCGCGCTTCCCGTCATCCGCCAGGTCTTGATCAAAGAGCAACGCCGAGACCTTCCCCCCTCAAACTCCCCCCAGTTGAACATATTTCTCCGGGCCTACACCAACGTCCATCGCGCGACTCTTCGAGTCTAAGCGCGCTTCCCGTCATCCGCCAGGTCCCCGACAACGAGTGCGCAACGCGCGTTCCCCCTCCTGGACCTCCCCAATTGATAGAAAAATCCCTCTGGGCAACAGAACGTCCATCGCTCGACTCTTCGAATCTTAGCGCGCGTCCTGTCATCCGACAGGCCTTGGCCACGGAGCAATCCCGAGCCCTTCCCCCCTCAAACTCCCCCCAGTTGAAAATATTTCTCTCCGGGCCTACACCAACGTCCATCGCGCGACTCTTCGAGCCCATGCCCGCTTCCCGTCAACTGGATAAAGGACGTACCCCGAGCCCTTCCGCCCTCAGACTCTCCCCAGTTGATAGTATTTCCCTCTGGGCTTGCGCCAACGTCCATCGCGCGACTCTTCGAGTCTAAGCGCGCTTCCCGTCATCCGCTGGCCCTCGATGCCGTGCGATCCGCCACCCTATATTAGTAAGATCTTTATTACACATGATGCTGATTCAACCAGAGCGTCCAGCTCGCTTCGAGTACCGCGAAGACGCTTCCCGTCATCCGCTGGTCCTCAATTCGGGGATGGACAGACCCCCCTTTAGTAAAATGTGGTTTAGTGAAAACGACCTGAGCCCCAAACCTGGCGGGCGCAAGCCTGAAAAATAACGGCCACGGCGCCCTCTCGAGAACCGAAAACGGACAATTCACTAATCGACGTGTCACTGTTGGGGGTTCTGTCCAGCCCCGATCAATCCCGAGCGGAGCGCGCGGCGCGCTCTGCCACCTGCCCTGGCTCTGCCACCTGCCCTGCCGCGGCACGCCAGCAGCCGCGCAGCACGCAAGCGCTGTCCGTGACGGAGCGGACCAGATGGCGGCCCCCTGTAGCCCGCAGGAGGCCCCCCCTCCGGCCTTGCCCAGCTGAGCCAGCACAGCAATGCTTGAGCGTTCGCTGCTTTGCGCTTCATACAGCTTCGTGGCTGCCTGCTGGCCAATGGTTCTGGACACAAGCCGGAGTACGAGCTCCACGTCGCCTTTGACATTGAACGTGCTGTATTTCCAAACCTACCCCGGTAGCAACCCACCCTTGCAACCGCGGAACGCTATTTCAGCTGGCTGCCATTCCGGAACCGTGACCAAGCATCCCTCTAATTAGCCAGCACGGATGCCAACCAATAATTAGT